CCCCCCCTGGCCCCGTCTCTGGCCCCACCACAGGTGGGGCCATGTGTTTACAAGGAAGTTACGCGCGAATCCACGAGAAGCTACCTGTAGACATTATGGCACTCCAACGCAGCTAAGAATTGAGCAGCCCACCAATTTCCTTGAAAATTTACCTTGTTTTCTAGGTAGTTAATTGGTGCTTAACGCAGAAACATGGGCAGCGCCCATGGCTGCTTATCTTTGCCAGTCACTCTGTCTGGCCGTAAGTCATTTTGCTACAAGAGATAATCTTTGTGAAAAATTGCCGCCAAGATTTCTTTTTATAAATCATAAATGCTATCCATCCTAATTGTTTTGTCTGGTAGCAAGTTCAGTTGAGGAATATGTCTTAGGTTGTAAAAAGATGTTGTTAGATAGTCGCATTTTATACCTATCACTTTACATGAAAGATTGCGTAGCTGAGCTGTTCATGTAAGCTAAAATAATTCCTTTGGTACTCGCTAGGGTTTAACACTCCATTATCTAGCTGTTTTTTCATGTTCAATTTTCGCATAGTTATTTTTTAAACAGGTTGTGAAAGCTATGTCGGATTGTGTCGTTAAATGTCTAAGGGTATGGAACACTAAGGGTGTTTGCACTGCACGCAGAGCTTCAGTCCTACCTGTTATCCTTCTGGTCAACTCTGCCTGTCTACAAGGGTAAAACCTCAGTAGTAATGGCGGGATCCCTTCGGCCTTAAATGTACAATATATTTATTAGATATTTATTTAATATTAGTCTTATTTAGTTTGCTTGTACTGCACTTTTTATTGCTGATGACTCTAGCGTTCTTCTATATTATACATAAGTGTGCTTAAGCTACCGTCTTTGATTGAGCAGGTATCTGCAACAACTACAATCCGTAGACTTCTGAATTGTCATATACGCTACTTGGAACTACATCTTTGTTTATATTAATATTTATTTATAGCAACAGGCGCAACCGCACAAAATGCGTAACCCAGCCCCGGCTAACCAATTTACTACAGGAAGTAGAACAATTGTTTTCGATCAGTCGAAAAAGGAAACTACTACTTTTCCAAATCATTTTAAAGAAATACATAAAATATTAAGGAGTTCTTGGAAGGTTGTAACGTAAGAGATATGTCAAATACTTCTCATGATTCTTTAAAGAAATTCTAGTGAAATAACTTCAAGCACTCTACAAACAGCAAATGTGTTCATTATAGCAGGTCCTACGGAAAAGTTCAGTGCTAAAGAGGTAAGGCATTTATAAAGGATATTTCCAGTTTGAAACGATCAATAAATTTATATCTGGTGGTGGATCAGTGCTAGTTCTGCTTGGGGAAAATGGTGAAAGTAAATACGCCACGAACATCAATTATCTGCTTGAGCAATATGGGATTCTCGTAAATAATGGTATGCAGTCTACAATATTAGGTCATATCTTAAGATGCTGTTGTCCGGTGTTCATTCTACAAGTACTTTCATCCAAAAGAGGCACTTATTCCCAATGGGATACTAAATAGGTTTGTGGTTGATCTTCGTTTTAAATATGATAATACCTTTCTATACCACAATTTTGCCTAATTTCTTCATCCTACTTTCTTCGCATCCCTAAACCAAAAACCAAATAGTTTCTCCACATTAAGTCCTAAAACTCAACGGTCTGAGCTTGTCCCATAACCCGATCGGTAACAGCAAGTGCAGCGAGGTTACTATTCCTCAAGCACAAGTGAGAGGATACCGCCTCGTGTCTCGGTGGTAGTGTATTTGACTTGTTCTTCCATGATCAAAATAACACAGGATAGAGGCTTGTTTTCGGCAAACGGGGATTTGGCTAAGAAGCCCAAAATATCCATCCCAATCTTTTCTGTCTTTATCAGAAACTACCTATGTACATTTTTAGAAGTCGTTCAAAAACTGGTTACAACGGGAAAATGTTTTACGTTGGGGTTTACTGCAGAGTCCTCTGCGATTGTGGCCATCACTATCATGCATTATTAAAGGCGAAATAACTTATGAAATCTTCTAGGCATTTTTTGCTGGAGTTTTTAACATATCTCTGAAATTACAATATTCTGATACACCTGTGTGTCCTTAAACCCTCGTTCTAAGTTTTAAGCTCTTGAAATAACTAGGCTTCCGAAATGGTCCTTAGTTACTTCATTGCTTCTGAACACATTTTGGGTTTTACTTTGGATATTTAACCAAAAAGATTTTTTTCAAAGGCTTAAGAAAAAGACCTGAAAAAACGCACAAAAAACAACAGCTGCTTGTCTCTACTTTAAAATAATGATGGCCGGTGTGTACATTTGCAATGGATATGCGATGACGTATCCATGAGCATTTACCATGCTACACATGGAGTCCCTTTTTAGCATTTTGTGCTGTAATTTTACTAGGTGAAATTAATTTCAAACCGCCATATAAGAATACCATTGTTTCAGTCAGGCTTTCTATCTGTGATAAGAGATAAAACCGGCAGATGCCTCTTAATACTCCTCCACGTTGTCAGTTATCGTTTCTGTTAACTCATATTCATTAAGGACCATAGCTGAATCGACTGGAAAACCTTCTGTTTTTCCCAGTGTTGAAGACTTCTCCCCGAAGCAGGCATTACAGTTTGTCTATTCATTCGGAGCGACCCTAAACGTAGCAAAGCCAGCAATTGCTCTCCTTTCAACTGGAAGCGTCGCCTTTCCCCTCAACAGACCTGTCTGTGCTGTTTATGATGCCGGTTTGGTAGGTCCCTTGTCCGTATACCTAATTAAGAACTTTCATCGGCTTCTTTTTTCTAACATATTATCAAGTGTGACTTATTTTTATATCATAAAAATTTAGTACATCACTCATACTATGCAAATAGTAACAATTTTGTTTACTCTAAGCTATTCGTAAAATAATTACTTTTATTATTATTAATATTAACAGCCTTTGAGACATTTGGTTACTACTGTAATAGTTAACTAGTTTCTGTCAGTTTAAATGAAATAAAATAAATCATGTTGCGGGGTTCCATTATTAGTCTTCTTTACATTCAACTAGATTAGTAACTTCCTCCGTTCTAGGTGATACGCAATCCTCCCTCTCTTCGGTTTCCGCACCTAACTAGATATAGATATTTTCAGAACACGAGTTTGGAACACTCTAGGACTATAGTTATCTAACCATGTTTCAGTCTTTAACAATATTTGCTTTTACAAGCAAATTCCTTACCCAAGGAGGTACATGCATAATTCTCTTGAGGCGAACGATACGCCATAAGGTGTACCCAGTGAGCAGTTTTGCAAATGTTCATTAACCATTTTCAACTGTTTCTGTAGCCAAAATTTGCACTTAAGATTCAAGGAAGACCGCGGACGCCGATGTCATGTTTTCAAAGCCAGTTTCCAGTTTTATTTTAAAGCTAACATATTATCACTTTTTGATATGTGCTCTAAAATCGTCAGAGTTGTTTCATTACCTAATGCACCGACTAAATGCTCTTACAGCCTCTCTTTCACTACTGTGAACTCTCTTCGTTTTCTGTAACTAATCATAGAAAATAATAAAATCTATTTAAGACTATCATTTACATTTCTAATAACAGAAGAAACAAAAGATCTACTCTGGTGGTCTACCTAAATGACTTTACTTGAATTATGTAGTTACTCCTAAAGTGCTCCTATTACTCCAACCTAAAACTGTATTTTATTCCCAATTTTTATTTTCCTTATTCATAATGTTTGATATAATTTTTCTTGATTGGTTACGTGATAATATTGGAAACGCTACTAAGCTTGGCATTTTATGAGGCACAAATCTATGTTTTCCTATATCACCGAACTGTCGGAAACTGTTAATTTCTAAAATTCTTCCCGAGTACATAAAGCAAGGCGGTGATTTTTTTACATAGTTCGTGAAAATTACAGCAGTCATCAGTTATGCAAAAGAGTTGCTTTTAAAATTGATAAGAAACTGGTAAAAGGTCTTTTAATACAGGCTTTAGCAGCAAAAGTTATTGGTTACAGAGTATTTTTTGACAGCTTATCAACTGCGAACCCCGTCTTTGCATGACATGAAAAGATAGATTGCAATTGATAAGCCGTCATTCAATTTGTTGTAACCAATAAATCCTGCTACTTATGTCTGTTTTGCACTCTAACCCGGCAAAAATGCTTGAGAAGTTTTTTTTAT